CCAGGATCAGGCAGCAAATTAGCACATAGCTAATACCGGTAGCAACTGACATAAAAGACTGTACACTGAAACAAGCAACCTCAGGACTTCACAGTTCAACTGACTGACAAGCGACATAGCATACGACGCTAGACGAGGAACACAGACAACAGGTGGGACTAAATACACTGGGAGGGTAATCAAGGAATGAGACACAGCTGGGATCAATCAAGACAGCACAGAGACTCAGGACCCTAAACCCAGAAAGAAACTCAAAACACAGAACCTAACAGGTTTGGGTTTAGCTTCCATGTGTTTTTGGTTTTAGCGTTAGCTAGCTTCCATGTGTTTTTGGTTTTAGCTCTGAGCTGAGCAGCAGGATGAACCTTGCTGGGTTGTTTACCCGTTGTCTCTCGGATCTGTTAAGCTGCTGAAGCAGGTGTGACGTGAGTCGTTAATGACACGGGTTGCGTGGGATCTTCAGGCTCAGTTGGCACAAACAGCAACAGGTGCGCCATGTGGCATTAGCAACGCTTAACTGATGAAAGGCCAGAAACCCCACCTCCATGGTTTCCTCCAAAGCTGTTCAGGAAAAAAAAATGTTTTAATTTCATCTAGGACTTCTTCACTTACTGAATATTTGATCATTTCTAAACCAGCTGGGTGCTTTATTAGGTACACCTGTTCAGCTGGCCAATCAGCCTCCAGATGAGCTCAGGTATCCTAATAGCAGCCATGTTGGGTGTTCTAATGGTGGAGTGTTGTTTGAACCTTTGAAGGCTATTTCTCATCCACAAGGTGGACATCCAAGCAGACGCCAGAGAGAGAGGCCTCTTCTACAGAATTAGGCAGCTTCAAGGCGAAGCAGCCGACTTTCCGGTACTAGACGGAAAGTCTGCAGGAGTTTGGCAGAGAGGATTTGCTGTTGGAATCATCACAACAGCAACACTCCTCACAATCTACAGTTAGATTTCAGATAGAAATCATGCTAGCATGCTAACATATTAGCATGTTTCATTAGAACTTTTGATTCTAGCACCATTTGCTCTGACTGCTGGGTTTAATACTCATTAAGTTCTGAACTTTCTCCCAGTACCTGCCAACTAGATTCACATGAGGTGGGGTCCTGATTTCCTAAACTAAAATGACTGTTTGCCGTCTACTACAGGTAAGATACTGACTTCTCAAATGCACTCCACAGAACCCAGTCTACGCCTTTTGAACAGCTCCTTCAGTTCTCATTGTTTAAACATGAGCTGCACATCAGCCACTCATTTATTAAATCCATTTAAATGTCAACCTCTGAGTCGATCAGTCATCAATATTTAATCGCTGCTCAGCATTTCCTCTCAAACAGAAACAGACATTACTAGTCGATCAGCTTTATTTAGGATAACAGTCATAATGGGATGAGTCTGGTGACTCACATGGTCACTGGTAGAAATCTAGAAAACAATCAGGAGGAGATGTGAGCAGCAGTTCTGACTGAGGAGGTTCCAGTCCCAAACACAGGTGAGTAAAGGTGAACATGTAGCTCCATGTAGCTCCTGGGCGGCATTCAGCAGCAGTACTGGCTCCCAGGCTGCAGGATGAGGGGAACTCTCTCTCCTTTCTCCACAGAGGAGAAGTTGAGAATGATTTTAGAGTCTTGGTCCTTCAGAAACGTGGCGTTGCTGGAAGCAGCGACCTGCAGGACGGATGTAAACCCACCGAGCGTCAGCAGGCAAAGCTTCTATACTGAGAATAAACAGCTTCATTTCATCCCAACACAACTTTCTCTAGAAACTTCTGCACACTGTAGGAAACTATAATATGCTGTAATATACTACATTATGCCACACTATATTATAATATGTTCTTTACTATGCAACACTGTGTGGTACTACACTATCATTGCACTATACTACAATACATTATCCTAGAATATGCTGAATTACACTATGCAACACTTCACTATACTATTCTATAATATAGTGCAACACATTGCACTGTATTATAGTAGATGCTACTATCTATACTGT